ACGACGATTCACAGCTGGCGGAAAGACGCCAGACCGCGAAACAGAGCGGTGAGACAAGGCAGATTGGTTGCCATCTCGTACACAACGGCGCTTGAAGGAATGAAGTCCCACGAACGCCAACAGATGGCGTTGCCCGTTTTTAACGGGAAAAAGAAGACTGTGAACGGCAGAGTGGTTGCCGTCTCTTACACAACAGCGCTTGGAGGAAAGAAGTTCCACGAACGCCAACAGATGGCGTTGCCCGTTTTTAGCGGGAAAAAGAAGACTGTGAACGGCAGAGTGGTTGCCGTCTCGTACACAGCAGCGCTTGAAGGAAAGAAGTACCTCCAATGCCAACAGATGGCGTTACTTGTTATAGTGAGACAAGGAAGGACTAGGAAAAAAGAGTGCTGCCAATGCCAACAGATGGCATTGCCCACCTTTTAGTGGGAAAACAAGTGAAAACAACCTGCACACTACAGTAGTGATGCACCCAGGCTCGAATTATAAGTAGTGTTGAGTCTGGGACAGAGGCCAAAGTGTACCTCAAAAGGCTCCGGGTCTCCCAAAAGGCCCGTGAGAACGAAACACCTGCAGAGAAAGAGCTGCTGGTGACAGAGGCCAAAGTGTACCTCAAAAGGCTCCGGGTCTCCCAAAAGGCCCGTGAGAATGAAACACCTGCAGAGAAAGAGCTGCTGGTGACAGAGGCCAAAGTGTACCTCAAAAGGCTCCGGGTCTCCCAAAAGGCCCGTGAGAACAAAGCACCTGCAGAGGAAGTGCTGCTGGTGACAAAGGCAAAAAGGTGCCTCAACAGGCTCCGGGTCAACCATAAGGCCCGTGAGAGTGGAAGTGTGGCATGGATGGGGGTGAGAAATCCCCCCACAGGTGCTGCATGACAGAGAATTTCCAATCAAGGAAACCCCAGGAGAATGGGGGAGGAAAACCCTCAGGTGATCGAACCCAATGAGGGAACCTCAATCTTCTGACATCAAAGGAGGTGTGACAACAAGAAGATCAAAAAGAGTTCAACAGATCAATTATAAAAATATTAAGTGAAACCTCATCAATTCAACATTGGAGAAGGAGAGATTGCTCCCCATCATTGTATATTCGCCACCAAACAGTAAAGTACAAGTACGCATTTTAATGGACTCCGCCTCTTCACATTCGTTTATTACGGTAAGTGCCTGTTCAGTTCTTCAATGCCCTATTTTAGAGAGAGATGTGGATTTAGCAATTAAGTCATTGCAAAC